GTGTCCTTTTTTATATTCCAGCTGAAAAGAAAGAAAATAATTAGCTTTCTTAAAGGAAATTGGCTGTGGGACTTAGGACAGTTTAAATTTTGGTTGTCTGTCTTGTCCAGAAAGGTACAAGAAAAAAAAAAGTATAACCACTTACGTTACTGGCCAAAGTACTGGCTTGTTTAGCAATCTGGTAACCTGGGGTGATCATGGCAGGGAAGCTGCCTTTTCCTTTTGACTGCTCATACTCCTCCATGTACTTAACCTGTCAAATAAGCACAAAATCAATCAGGGCATTTTACCAATACTAATGCAAAATTAGTTTCAATTTAATTTTTATATAAGCTATTCACACAATCTACACTAGAAACAGTACCACTTTATTTAAAGTTGTGTAAATAATTGAGTGGTGCCCACTCACATCACTCATGGTCTTCTGGGCCTGAGACATTGTCACAGTCTCCTGCTTGGTCACCATGCCTGAGTGCCATGTCTGCTGCTGTGAAAACTCAGACTGAGACCGAAAGGCCTGTTTGGATATGGAAGACAAACCTGATCATTTCCAACAATTCACAGGACAGGTCACGACGCACCTTTCATGCCTGTTGGACCTTGTTAAATACCTCTTCTCTGCTTTACTTAGCCTCTGTAAAGTGATGTGGAAATTTAATACAGTGCAAATAAGTATTCTGCATGGCACAAATAAAACATCTGAGCAACTTCACATCCTACACCTAATAGAACAGAGACGATGAGGTTTAATACATTAACAGTGACAGCCTAGAAAAATAAGTTACCTGACTACTCATCTCAATATAGATTTTTTTGGAGTAAGATCTGGAATGTCTGCACAATTTTACTTATGTGGAGTGTTGCTTTATACATTAAAGATATGCAAAACAACAACATATTTATGGAAACATTAGAATTTGGACTGGAACTCCCTTTAACTGGATGTAAAGGCCAGTTGCTCTACTGGGAGCTCACCTGGCTGGTCATATGATTGTCTAGTCGAGCCTTCTCCAGCTCCATGGACCTCATGTCTTGGTGGAAGGAGGACATAAAGCGCTCGCCATCTTCGCGATACTTCAGCTACAGGTGCATATAGACGAAAGCGTTAAGCCAAGGCCAGAACACATCTGCACGTGCGCACACTACACATGTGTTTACAACATCCACTTTAGTAGTTTGATGCATGAATCAAGAAAAAAAAACGGTCAGCCCTGACTGATATTACCCCAACCTCAGATCCATATAGGCAAACATCAGTCTATTCTTATTTTGTCAACTTCAAACCAGACAACCTGAGCTCACATGCTTAATGATGAAGGGATAATATTAGTGTGCTGGTATTAATAGATGAGATGTTCCAATCAAGAAAGGTCCAGAATGGAGCACTGAGTGGTGAAACTCTGAGCTGTTCGCAAACGATCTTAAGCAGTAAAAATGTTCAAAACTAATATTAGAATAGCTGTGCTGTCACTGACAAGTGACTTCCATGGAGCATCATTGATTAAGGGCTAACAAAAACTACTTTCTATCAAAACTCAGGGTGGTAAGGTAAGTATCAGCCAAAATTAAAAAAGTTACTGAAAACAAGCCCTCATATCAAATATCTAGAAGTTAGGTCTAAAGGCCTTCTAGGGAAATATAGCAGTAGCTAATAAGCTTGGTAGCCTACTGCTAATATAAGCATTGCATGAACTCGTAGACAGAGACAGACACAGACAGACAGGAACAGGTGGCAGGACAGAGGATAGGAAGGGATGTGAGGCTGATTTTCTTGACGTATAATTTTAGCCCCCTGAAGCATAAAGTGGGCTAAGCAGAGGGGGTGTCTCGCCTCTGTCATGGGAACAGAAATAACCCAAGCCGCACTCTCCATTCCACAACGCTGCCATCACCGTGGACTCAAAGCAGCCATCCACCACTCTCTCTTCCACCCACAAAAGAGGGAACATGACCTTTTTTATCTGACAGCAATGGATACATCTGCTTAGGGTCAGATCTTGAGCTTTCTGACTGTTTGTGTGTTTAAAGTTAATAGATCTGTGCAACCTGTGAGGCTACCAGTGGTTTTGTGTGATCTTGAGTGATAAATTTAAAAGCAGAATGTCCATTTCCAACTACATTTTGGGGATTTTAAAACACAAATATTTTTGCCCATGCAAAAATATTGTTGTACTAAACAAGAATAACATACAATTGACAAATTTAAGTCTTTTAAATTCAAGTGTAATACCTGCATCAATCACTTTATATAACACAATGTTCTAAACTAACACAATGACTATGAATAGAAATATCCACAGTAAGTCTAGACAATGATAAATGGCCATTTCACTCATGGCATAGACTGTGACTTATGTCAGCCTGTAAACAATTCCTCTTGACTCAGATCAAGGCCAAAATATTTTGTCTCACGTTGCTGCTTGTGTGTTTTGCAAGTGACATCATCTTACCTCACTGCTCGCCTTGCTTTGCTTTTTTGCATTGATGTTGACAGGGGTCTCGTAGACACTTGTGAATGTGTTGTTTCTTGGATTGTGTCTGAAGGGATGGGATATAAAAAAAGCCATCATTTTAATTACCAATTTTGATGGAAACAAATTGAAAAAGTGGTCTATTTTTACACCAAAATTACCCCTAAAAATTTTGGGGGATTTTGCTTAAATACTAAGTTACATCATCAGGTGTTACTGGAGCCTGGTACTTACACGGAGCAGTATGGCCTCTTCTTGTGGCTGACAAAGTTATTGGCAGTGAGCACCATCTTACATACGTCACAGTGAAAACATGCTTTGTGCCAGTTCTGAGAGAAAAAGACAATTCCCGTTATTTTACAGGGTCCTTAAAACTGAATTCTAATCCCTAAATTCGGAAACACGACTTTGATCTAGTTTATCATGTGAAGACAGAAAATTGTTGTTGGACAGGCAATCTCTGATAGATAACATCAAGTTAATAAGATAGCTTTTATTGAACAAGGCCAAAAATAACGGCAGCAATCACAGCATGATGTCCCATATGGACTCGCTGACTTGTTCTTAAATATAGATTTTATGTGACTGTTAAAATGTACACCTCTTGTTTTCTGTCTCACAAGCTAGTTCATAAAATTTCATATTATAGAATAGTCATTTTACATACACTTTTTGTACTGTAACTGGCAAATGTGCCTCTTTGCACACTGTTACATGTGTATTTGATGTAAAGACATACTTGGAATAGATTAAATGGTGCCATATTTAGGTTGTTTGTGTTTTTCTGCAGTAAATCTCATGTAATTGAGGTGGATTGTTATCACAAAACATCTGCAAATGCCTCAAATATCACCTACAAATTTACACTTTGACAAATATGTTATGTAGGAGGTTGATTGAGAAATATAATAAATCACAATAATTCTGTGTTACCTGGTCAATGCAGTTGATCTTCTCAGCTGGGTAGACCACGAACCCACACCTGGCACAGGACTGCATGTTGAATGCGTGCCTTTTCCTGAAAGGAAAATTATCAGAAGAAGTGAACAAGTGTGAAATGTCAGCCAAAAACAAGAGTCAGGTTAGTCAGGCAGTGGAGGAACTGGCAGTGTCTCCCAGACAGTTGTGATAGTGCGTCTCTGGTGGTGGTAAACTTAGCTCTGTGACTGTCAAACTTTGAAACTCTCTCTTACTTGACACCAGGTCCCATGATGAACCAACCCCCTTCTATGTACCATGCTAGAGGACTGGCTGAGTCCAGCTGTCTGTCTGCAGGAAAAGAGAGAGAGAGACAGAGAGTTCACATGTCACTATACATGTGTAATGATCCAGAGTTGGACAGCTGGTTCAGTGTTGGGTATCTCGCCATGACATAATGAGATAAAAGAGTAATACCCTGTGTAATAGTTTTACTTTGTCTTACTTATCTTCATCAGCTACAGTAAGTATGTTGACACCAGTGGCAAATTGTATGCTTATTTCTACTTCGATTAAATTACATTATGGAGGCAAATATTGTACGTTTTACACCACTACATTTAGATTATAAATACAAAATATTAGTCTAAAGGTATGATTTATTAATAGTAGTATATAATGTAGTTCAAATGAACCCACCTTTACACTTTAAAGTGAAGTAAACATTAATACTTTGCACATTTTGAATGCAGGGCTTTTAAATGTAAGAGAGGATTTTTGTGAAAATGAAATGACAGAATAATACAACGGGATCAAATATAAACAAAGGGGTGTCATGTAACAGACAACAATGGCATTAAAGAAAAATATTTAAATCTTACCATATTTTAACTGTTTTGATTGCTTTACTATTCTTTAAACCAAATAGCATTTCAATATAATGTTTGATTTATATCTTAAAATGTGGTAATTGGGGTTTCTTCTTTGACCATTTGCACTTGTGTTCAAAATATATCTTCTTTTAGAATCAATATCAATCTTGTCTATCTAACCAAAATAATTTTGTACAAACACAATCATAAAATAAATGACAAATGGTTTTCAGCACTTATTTATTCAGTGAGCACTTGTTTATTTATCTATTTAGGTGTATGGTATGGACTCTGTCCTCCATACTATACACCTGATTTACAGGATACATCAAATGAATTCTTAAATTAAACTTCTCTGGTTTTGTTGGGTACAAAATATTTTTATTGATATTCCAAACTGACTTCCATGTAATATTTTCTAATTTAGAGTGACAAAATAGCTTGGCAGGAGGAGTTGTGCAGAAATTCTTGCCTGTTCTTTGCATGTTGAGGCAGACCTGAGTGACGCAGGGCTCTGACGTAGTTACGCCCCTCGCAGACTGTATGCCTTTGGATGTACTTTCACTTTCTTAAGTTTTCTAAGGAACAGAAACTCGGTAAAAAACTGCGGAGAAGGAGAAACGACCAACTTTTGTGCAATAGCTAAGCTGACATAGCACAACACACGAATAGTAGAGTGTAAGTTCATGCTAACATATCTGTCCCCACCTTACGTTAGGAGTTTGTCGCTAAGGAGGTTTTTTTTTGCTATAGGGTTATGCTAATCAGACACTCAGCTAACAAGTAGTTATGAATTAATAACTTAACGCGTTAAAATGGTGATTAAGCTTTTAAATCAGAGCTAAGCTAGCTATGTGTTATACTACTTTTAACTTGTTTGAACAAACGCCTGAGCCGTGTTGACGTTAGCAGTCATTGGGAATAAGGAAATGAAACGAAGCTGCACTTGAAAGAATGTAAGCCGTAGGAAGTTTACAGTTGTTTTTAACACGACGTACAGTAAGTTAACGTTAATCAAACTATAAATCATTTGTATTTTATAAATGCAGATGTCTGGAGAAACTGGTGAGCCAACTGAACTTGGAGGTGAAGTCGAGGATGGGATGCTGACTGAAGACCAGACAGATGCCAAACCTGACCGCAGAGGGAGATTTCTTCTGTTTGGGAGGTGACTTCCTTTTCAGCGCACTCATTGTATCTGCACAGGGAAACCCCAATCACCCAGGAAACCCACATAATTTGGACCATAAGGAACTTAATCCAGTTCAAATACACATTAGCAGACAGTGTATAAAAATATACATGTTTTACTGTAACTTTCACTTTCATTATTATTCTCATAGTGTGTGACCATTTCATCAGGGGAGTTATAGCATGACAAGATTATTCACCCATGATACGGTTTTAGTGCAGTTTACTGTATTCTCCGGTTTAGAAGACATTGGAATTGCCCATTTTATCAAGTAATGGTTGTAAGTCTCAACCAATCAAAACAAATAAAAATAATGTATTACTTTGATTTGACATAGCAACCCAGTTTTGGATAGCCTAATTAGTGTTATGGTGCAAGGCGTGCAATCTTAAATCCATTTTTGGGACAGATGTCAGGCCTCAAGTGGCTGCTTAAAATTAGACTGTACTACAGCAAAGTCTAAAAGCACGGATATGTGAATTCAGTATGATATCATAGAGTGTGGGCCCTTTCACAGTGTCTTGGCTGTGGCTCAGGAGGTAGAGAGGATTCAATCCCCCGGCTCCTTCAGTGTGGCTGTGGAAGTGTCCTAGGGTAAAATACTGAACCCCAAATTGCTTGCTGTGTCAGTGTTACAGGAATGTCTCTGATTAACATTGATGAGCAGTTGCCACCTTAGCCTCTGCCATAAGTGAGTGAATAGGTGAATGTGACGTAGTGTAAAAGCACTTTAAATGGTCGGAAAACAAGAAAGGCACTATACAAGTACAGACTATTTACCATCTTGACCATGGAATAGATAGAGATAGTGTAGCCTCTGTCCATTCCAGTCTGACTCACAAGGTGGCACTGTGAATCTTTGTCAGCCATGTTTCTCCCAGATACTGGTGATCAAACACAAAGCTTGTGCCCTTTGTGTGGCATTTAGATTTTCATCCCAAACTGTCAGGATAAAAATGAGCAATTTGTTATTTTTTATTTATAAAAACATAAAAAACAAAAAGAAGCATCTCAAATTTTAAATGAATGAACGTGCTTTTTAAAATTGGCTGAATTGAAGCATGACATAGTTTATTAAGAAATTAGCATGCAGTTAATGTTTAAATACTGTATGTCAAATTTGCTAAATGGTACATGTTTTGCATAAGCACTTAGTCATGGCTACTTGATAGCAAACATGACCACCATATTTAGAAGTAGCATATCATGTAAAACTGAAAGCACCTTATCTACAGTACTTTGTGTCTTTTTCATTGGAAGAAGGCATGACCAAATTAAAGATCAACTCGAGATGCCTCTTCAGTCATGCCTGACATGCCATGTCATCTGAAAATTGTGTGTAATATCATAAAGGTTGTAATAATAATTGTTTGTACTTCTTAAACTGGTAGGATTTTGGCAAAATGTTGCTTTAAACCAAGACGGAAATTATTAATAACCAAGATTTATTTTTAGTTATTTACAGTATGTTAAGTCGTTATGCAAAGCGGCGATTCTTAGAAATGACTGGTTTTTAGTTGTTCCCCTCCTTTTGCATCCAAAGTTGAGGTGATTTAGGCTCACAGTGTGTCGGTACAGGTGGATTCTGTGCCTGTCAGCAGAGGAGCAACCTGTTGCCCTGTCTGACCTCAGCAGGGAGTGAGGTGCAGGGGCCACGTGTGAATAGGCCTTTGGAAAGCACTGGTGTGGTAGCGAGGCTGCTGACTCAGGGGGCTCACAGTGCGCCGCCCCTGTCCTCAGCACCCGCTGGCCCAGTCAGGTCTCCATCCAGTATAGAGAGCATGTCAGTATCCTAGCACACAGACAAAAATTAAGCTGCCAGGTCTGGAGGAACGTACTCTTTTAGGGGAACGAAAAGAAACGAGACAAAACCAACGCCTTTCAGATGCAGAGTGGCGTAGCGCTTAATGACGAACCCAGGTAAGACGGACACAACTGCCTCATATTCCTGTTCACCGTCCTCCTACCTGCTCCTCTTGCTGCCATGCCCAGCCCACAGCAGAATAGAGTTGAGGCTCTTTGCTCACCCTACGCAATTGTTTGGTACAGTATGCCAGCACAGTTTGGAGGGGGGGGGGGCTTCAAAAAGTTCTGGATCACATGTTTATTAGAACATGGCTGGGCTGCCTGTGAGTCCATGAGACTGTTGTGCGTAGCTATGTATTGTTCCCGTGCTTGAGTAACTTGATGACTAGGCTCTTCTGGAACAAGCCTGGATTTTCTGAGCTCCCAATGGGCCACTGTTGGCTTTGCTATCTGGATCTATCTTTTTAAAAATGGAAATATGACAGGTCTATGAGAATTGCCACTTGTGGAAGATTTCCTCCCGCGCAATCTACATTGATGGTGATTAGGATTTTTTTATCTCTCCGCGAAGCAAAAATGTTCTAGTTTCTTCTTTAACCTGACGGTGGATTACTGCGACCAAATTTGGCTGTGATGTTAATGCCTCATTTGAAAATGTATGTTCTCTTTGGTTTCTGAGTAAGTGTTTCGGAGTGTTTTCAGTTTCATGTGAGTTTTCCTTGCATTGGAAGTCTTGACATTTACTTATTTTGAAGTGTAACTGGTACATGTAGAAACATTTTAGCTTAAAAGACACTGCCATGTAAAGTAAGAGTAAACATTATGGTGGCACTTGTGGGCCTAATTGAATTAGTATCAAATGCTGCTTGTAGCGTATTTTTCGTCGTATTTTTTTGTTTTTGGTGTAAGGTCTAAAAAACAGTAACGAAGGATCATTGTTATTGATGTCATCTGTGTGTATTATGTATTTACTTTATATCCACAGAAGTAGCTTCCGAAAGATCAGCTGAACAAAGTAAATAATCTTGCACATTATAATGCTAGCATGAAGTGTTAACTGTCATTAACATTCCGTTTCTCTTTGACTCTCTTAGTAAGAAGAATAAGGATGGCCAGACGCGGGAGCAGGACTACTCTTCTGAAAGCCATTACAGAATTGTTTCACCAACATTCCAGTATAAGATGAGCCACCAGCGAGTGGGGAAGTGTATCATCATCAATAACAAAAACTTTGATGAAAAGACAGGTATAGCAGTGTTTCAGACTCACCGTATACATAATTCAATTTTGCTCGATATTGCATTTAGAGTGTGTATTCTAAGCAGATTGTCTTGACAGGGATGAATGTACGAAACGGCACAGACCGAGACGCAGGTGAGCTGTTCAAATGCTTCAAGAGCCTTGGCTTCGATGTCTGCATCTATAATGATCAGACATGTGAGAAGATGGAGCGTCTTCTCAAAGATGGTGAGTTGTGAAGTCCTCTATCTTTCTGCCACTTTCCTTGTTCTTTCATGTGGGTGCGTAACAATGTTGATTTTATACAAGCTTCTTGTCACACCATAAAAATCTCTTGAATTTTGTCATATACTCAATTGCCATATTGTTAGGTACAGTTAGCCAAAACTGTATTGGTTGTAATGTTCAGCTTTTGTTGAAACAGTTTTTAGAGATACATTGATTCTAGCTGGTGGTGCTGTTCAGTTGTATTGTGTTACATTGATATTATGACTATGTCATGACTATTTTTAATATTTAATCTACTCACATTAATATAAATGGAGTGGACAACAATTCACTATAGCCTCCAAATTCAACACAGCACCTCACTAAAATAATTCTCAGGGTGGCTACGGTAGAGTGGTCGTCCACTAATCAGAAGGTCAGTGGTTCAATCCCTGGGCCCCCCCCAGTCTGTATGTTGAAGTAACCTTGGGCAAGATACTGAACCCCAAATTTCTTCAAATTGTGAATGTGTTGATTTCTGTTTCTGATGAGCACTTGGCAGCTTAGCCTCTGCTCATCATTGTATGAATGTGTGTGAATGGGATGTGTAGTGTAAAACAGTTTGAGTGGTCGGAAAGACTAGAAAGGTGCTATACAAGTACAGATAATTTATGAACATTCTTATCTTCATGAAGGCAGGATTTATTGCAGGACTGTTGGACTAGACTCAGTTAGTTTTAGTCAGCTGTACCTAATAAACTGGCAACTTACTGTAATCATATCATAGTCATAGTACTTGAAACAGCATCTTGGTTACACTATTGTGTTAATGGTGGGAATGTGAAAATGTTTTTGATTGTAAGGTAAGTTGAGAATCTCAGTGTCAGTCAGATGTCTCCTTACTTTGCAAACTTTGTTTTACTGTAGATTAGTTATTTACTTTACCAGATTTACCTTTTTTTTTATATGCATATAGTTTAATTGATTCCCATTTAAGTTCACATTCAAGATTCTTCATGACTGTTAACAGATTTAGCAGTAGGTTTGTTTCTTAAAGCTGCCAGGTCAGACAGCGGGTGGTGCTGTTGTAAAAGTAATTACATACATCTTAATGAAGTTGCTGCCAATTTGGGCAGAAGGTTTTTATGTTAATTCGGTGTCACTGATCAGAGCACTTGCAGGTTCACTGGCTAGATTTCATGACAAGATTTATAAGTCACCTGTGATGACCATATTAACTTGGTACACACCAATGGACATTCTTGTTTAAAATTATGAGACGTTTTTAATGACTGTTATTCTTTGGCATCTGCACATATTTTGTCCCGGTAGCACTGAGGCCTGCTAATCATAATTGGTCAGGTCCGATACCTTTACAACTAGGGTACAGAATAGATAGACACCTTTGACCTGTCCCCTAGTCTCAATATCAGGCCTCGGGTACCCAAGAAATTTCATAATCTAATAGACAGATTGTCATGAAGTTTAATCAGCACACTTCCGTTCCCTCACGGATGATTTTTCCTCCAGTGCAGTGCTCTGGCTAACATCAGACTTTGCACAAGGTACATCTCATTATAGGCAGTTTCCGGTGGAATTTGCTTAACACAGTCACACTCCTTTGTTAGGGTTAAGCAAAATGCTAGGAGGCAATATTTTATTTAGATTAAAATTATAACTAATTTAAATAATGAACTGATTAAAATTTAAATTACACCATCAATGAAAGTCATTGAAAGTAGAGTTCTCATGTTCCTCAGAGGAATCTATCTAGAAGCTGTATATTTTAAATTCTTATTGTAACATTTTAAGATACTATAATATGAACTTATAGTAAGTAATTTTCTACACTACAATTCTCAGTTACTGAAAATTAAGCTCATAATTTAGTTGCAACCTCAAATTCTTCAAGAATCTTAAAGGATGATTAAAGGGCTAAATCAACTCCAGATTGGACCATTAAGTTACTGACATTGCTCACTAATTTAGAAGCTTAATGAGGCCAGAGCCGAGCTAAGAGTTGAGTGTTTGTTTGTGTGTGCATGGGTCAGCCTCGGAGGAAGACCATAGTGACAGCTCGTGTTTCGCCTGTATCCTGCTAAGCCATGGTGAAGAGGGAATGATCTACGGAACAGACGGAGCCATGCCCATCAAGACCATGACCTCATTGTTCAGGGGCGACATGTGCAAAAGCTTAGTTGGAAAACCAAAACTCTTCTTCATCCAGGTATGAAGTTCTGAAGACTTTTATTTAGAAATGACGATGTGAAAAGATAATGTGGTTATGTAACAATAATGTTACAGTAGTTAATTAACTTAAGATTTTGTTGAAGACAGATTAAAATAGCTTTCAGTAGCTCCCCACGGACAGATGATAGTTATTGTGTAAACTTTTACCCATCTCAGCTTTTAAAAACAGTTAATTTTTAATTGCTTCACCAGGTCATCGTTGAGAAAGCTACTCAGGATCACAATGAAATGTCATTTCATTTACTCCACCAGGCTTGCCGGGGTTCTGAATTTGATGATGGTATACAGACAGATTCGGGTCCGCCAAACGATACCTTGGAAACCGATGCTAATCCAAGGCATAAGATCCCTGTAGAGGCAGATTTCCTGTTTGCCTACTCTACCGTGCCAGGTAAATCACACAAAAAGTATGTTTATATTGCCAAATGAATCAATGCTTGAAGGGAAAGCTTTTTGGGACCTGTGCTGGATGCATCAGCGAGCAGACACTTCAGAGTCAAAGTTTCAGGGCTGACTCATGTTGATTTTCCAGGGTATTACTCCTGGAGGAACCCTGGCCGAGGCTCCTGGTTTGTCCAGGCGCTCTGCAACGTCCTCAGTGAGTTTGGCAAGCAGTTGGAGATAATGCAGATCCTGACACGGGTCAACTACATGGTGGCCACCAGCTTTGAGTCCTGGTCTGAAGACCCACGCTTCAGCGAGAAGAAGCAGATTCCCTGTGTGGTCTCTATGCTGACGAAAGAACTGTATTTCAACTGAACGCCAGCCTAACTGACCGAACTGTACGACTCCACTGACTGGCTGCCTGACTGACTGACTGACTGACTGACTGACTGACTTGACTGACTGTTTCAGGCACCGACTAAGCGTTCAAGGTATTCAGGGATGATTCAGGCCCAGCAGGACACTGCACATTTGGAGCATATGTGACATTTTGCATGTTTAGTTGGGCCCGAAAACAAGCACTCCGTGAGGAAAACAAATTATTTACAGTGGCACTCCTCGTTCATGTGGTGAAACTTTTTCCTCTTCTTCAGGTTATTCTTCGGAATAATGGCGTCACATTTTAATCTGATCTTTTTTTTTTTTTACAGGCATTGTTAAATATATCAATGTTATTCTACCAGCCCGGAAAATTTGCTGCCAGTTTTTGTGGGTTTGGGGAATCCTATCTGAATATGTGTCTCTCCACTTTCCAGCATTTGCAGTAGAGGTTGAAAGGAACTGTATGAATGGACTTGAAATTGGTTCTGACTAACTGAAATAATTGACATTTGGTGTTCTGAGAGAAGTCTCTCCAGAAAGAGATCATAAATCTGTCCAATGCAGTCCAGTTTATCAATCTCGTCCTTTTGAGCTATCGAATTGGGTTTGCAAAAACAGCCTTATATGAGGGCACTAGTCAGTCTACAGAGATTCCCACCAGAAAAATGAATAGAGTGATTACAAAACCTTTGATTGCCATAGGAGAGATGAGGGAGGTGCCTTGATTTACAAACCCAGGCCAATGCGTTGTTGGGAGGATGGGGGCATCTGGAAAATGGATCAGATAATTTACAGTTATCTATGTTTTAACGTTTTCAGCTGTCAGTTGTCAAAAGAAAGAGACAAAAGAAAAAAGATGACACAAGGCAGAAACATGTGACGATGTTTTTTGCCAAAGGCTCAATGTCTCAGCCTTCCTAGTCAGTTTCAGTTAGTAGCAGCATGCTGACATCCTCAGGTTCTTTAATGTCCCATGAAGTGGGTAAATGTAATGTTAAAGAATGTCATATACGTATGGCTAGGAAGGTGTGATCTTTTGCTGTGTAGGGATTAGTTCTATGAGATTTTGGGTCAAGTGCGTAGTAAATAGTCCACTCCCATAAAAGCAAGGGTTATTTGCAATTTGCCGGTTTTCTCAGCGTGATGTTGACTTCACTTGCTTGTTGTTCAACCCTGAGCAAGTGAAGTTCATGTATTTGCACATGATCAAAATTACGCACTTGTCTTATTAGTCAGGGTCTAATAAATCAGTTTATGAATTTCCCTTTCTTAATCTTTAAAGTTAGACATTCCTCTTTAATATCTTTACTAGATAATAGGATTCACGCTGATGGATTTTTTCACCAGAAAGGGAACTTAAGAATGTTGAAAACTGTGTCATAAATTTGGGAAGTATTATAGTGTAGAGCTGGACTAGGGCCCAAAGCACAAATGCCGCATCATTTCACTGTATATTAGTGTTGTACATTGTCATAACATACACTACACTCTAGTAAGAGGTACCCAGCAAGGTCTTCCTATTTATATTTTTAAATTAATCTTTTATTTAGAAAGATTTAAAAACCCAAATCATAGTGAAAGACACAAACGATTAATTGCTTTTATATATAATGTTTAATAATTTCAAATTATAACTATATTCTTTTAAACAACATTGCACAATTTAGTAAATTAATAATTGTCATTGAGATATATAATAAAATCTAAAATATTTATTTTGAATAAAATAGACATTTGCTGATGGTCATTACAACTTACACAAAGTTTGTTCCTGCAGATACACTGTGTTATCGTCTCAAAGTCTGTCAATCACAGAGGCAGCTATTACTGGTGGTGACAAGTCTGAACATACACAATCCACATGTCCGCAACACACACTCTCACTGTTGCTGCAATGTTTTTACTTTATTGACATGATTGCATGTGTCAGTAACTAAGGGGAAAGGTTCAGCAATATCTTTAATTTGTCGTTATATTTTCTCCTTTTCACTCCTTGTATTTTTTTTATCAACTGTTTTTTTGATAGCACTTCTTTATATATATATTTGCCAGAAGTGTGATATACTGGTTTAAGTTAGAGACATGTTACATTCTACACCCAGTGCACTTGTCCAATACAGCTCAACTCTCAATCCTCTCGACACATGGATCTCTGATTAGTGATGTGGTGCCCAACCTGTGCTGAAAGGAGTGTTTGCTCCACTTGTTTTGGATTGGAATTGAAGGAGGGAAAAATTCATTTTTAAGGGTAACATTTTAAATGCTTTCCAGTGTTAAATGCTGTTGTCCTCAGGAATATATTTGAAAAGACTTGGAAAAATGAATGAATGAATTTCATTGAAAGTATAATTGGCCCAATTTTTTTTATTTCATTTGGGGCAATACCTTGTTTAAATAACTTCAAAACAGAGGAATGCTTATGTAAACATTTTATTGTATTAAATATGAATAATTCATTGTGTAATGAGTTGTGTGTCATTTGTTTGCACATCTGTAAGCACAGACCACATTAGAGGATGGCTATTTTTGTTTTTTAAAACAAGGAAGATGTTTGTAACATGGTAAATAATACATAATGTCACGTGAACAAATTGAAGGTGCAAAATTCTCATTCTGGATTTTTGTGAAATATGTCCCAAAGTTAGATTTATTTTCTTTAGCAATCAATACTTCTAATAGACATAAAACATTTTTAGCTTTCTGTTAACACTTAAAGGATAAGGTTGGCGATTTGCTATATTTGTCTTATTATTAACAAATATCACTTATACCAACCAAAACCAACAATGAGTTGATCTTACAAGTGAGTCAAACTCACCATCGTGCTTTCATAAGTACTAGAGCACCAAATGTTTATTACTCCACAGCTGAAAATAGTCCCCAAAAATTTTGTATTTATTTATTGTTTGAGTAACATTTGATAAAAACTGCAGTGCCCAGCTGTTTTAGTACTCAGTCCTTTTTTAAATAAAATGATAAATGTGTGATTGACATCTTTAGTAGGAACAAGTGGGCTTGGGTCTAAGAGCCATAGGGGAGTATTATTGTATATATTGAGTATTTTCAATGGACTTGCTGACAATAAGAAAAATATAGAATGTCACCAGCATTATCCTTCCTAAGTTCAATTTGGTCAATTTGGACGCTTTTATCCAAAGCGACTTATTATGCTATACATGTTAGAGGTCGCATACATCTGGAGCAACTAGGGGTTAAGTGTCTTGCTCAGAGACACAATGGTGGGTGGGTCACAGTGGGGGATTGAACCCAGGTCTCTCACACCAAAGGCATAGTCTTATCTGTTGGACCATCGCCACCCTCTGATTATCTACTTGATTAATGTTAAAAAGCAGATCTATCTTTACCAAATTAAAGGTTATATATTATTAATTCTTACCTAAAGACTTTTTCTATGCCCTGTCAACTTCTGTCTTTGGCAATTCCTCATCTGGGTATTCCGGTTCAGGTCAAAGCATTTACAATAAGCTTTTGGAAATAAACAGGGTGAAGAACAGCTCTAACGTCACAGAGTGTGTGTCACCTATAAAGAAAACACGAGTGACTGGAAGTGAACAACATGATCCGAGAATCTAAAACAGAGATATGCTTTTAAAATTCCTTTAGGCAAATTTAGACTAGCCTGACTTACAGTATCTAGGGCTGATGTTGTGTCACAAGTTAAGAATGTCAGATCAGGCAGCTGATATGCATGTGCAACACATGCACTGAGTAATTCTGCTCCACCTCAGAGAATAGGAGCTGATCGGGACACATCACAGATCTTAAGGGGATTCCAGTTTGTGCCTTCGTTCTCATGACCAGGACATAATGCTTGATGTAGGGTGTTGGTGAAGGTCCCAGCGCAGAAGCAGTGGAGGGGGGTCATAGTATCAGCTCCTAGAAAGCACACCAAACCTCCAGGGAAGCTGCAGTACACCCCGATGCGAGTGAACTGTTTTCCTGCCAGCAGAGGCAGCTCATGCTGCACACCACCATGCCAGGCTGTGTAGTCTCCATTAAAGTGTTCCACACACCAAGACTCTTTGCCTCGGCCCAGCCAGGAGTCTTCCTCGCGTCCCTTGCGTGGGATGCTCGGGTGGGTGAGCCCCAACTCCCAGTACGTTTTCCCTTTCACCTCCACCTCCCAGTAATTGCGGCCTTCGCTGAAGCCTTGCTGGCTGATTACATTTAAGGTGGTGTCAAAGCGGGAGGGAGTCTCTGGGACATCCTGCCAGGTGTCAGTATAGGTGGCTGAGTTGCCTTTGGGAGAGATGATCAGTTTGGGGTGGGCAGTGTCGGCGTCAAGGACAACATCTGCGGCATCTGTGTGACAGACATCAGAAACATTCAGTGTTTTTGGGCAAAAGTTTTGGCAGAAGAGTTGTTCTACCCTTAAGTTCACAAGCGAGACAAACACTTCAGACGATTGGCATTTCCCAACTAACTGCTACGTCATTCTACCTGTATTTGCGTGCACTCACAGCTCTGTAACAGTTTCTTGGTGACAGGGACCTGGGACCTGATGAAGAGCAGCAAGTTGATGGTAAGACTCAGTAGTTGCTCGCTCTTGAAATCATCCATCTGAATCAGGTCAGGGTCAGTCAACTTCAGGGTCTCAGAAATTCTAATTTCAGACAAAAAAACAAAGACTTGATACCTCCCACAAAGAGCGAGAAGTTGACTTAGTTTAGGTGCTTGTAAATTAAATTACTTAACTCATGGTGCAACAGATTTCACACAAATATAAATCCATTCACACACATATATTGCAAATAAAACTTGAAAGAAATATAATAAATTAAAATGTTAACTGACAGTAACAAATACTGACCATCATAATATTGCTATACATTATGTAAATGTTCTAATACTACATACTATTTGAAAAATATGTATGAGATCTGCAATTTGTGATTAGGGCATGGTCACATTTTGTCCTTCTGGTAGAAAAGGGTTGTGTTGTTAAAATAAAATTTATTTCCCATGGATGGAAAACGGACTACGCGCAGTAAATAAAGTGATCTAGTTACCTCGTAAATTATGCAACTTGCAATATGACATCATCCCTGTGGCATTTCCCGTTCGTCAAAAGAAAAACATTTGCTATGTTTGGTGTGTGGGAAATTCTAATTGTTAAAACAAACCACTGCTGGAGTGACCAAAAGCAGGCTCACTGTGTATGTTAACCACAAATTATATAATTTGTGTTTAAACATAATAACAGAATGGCAACTGTGAAATGTTCAGATGAATGTATTACCAAATATCAAGCATGTATAAGACAAAAAAACCCTGATTGGCCCTTATTAGAGAGTTACATGGAGATGTCACCAGAGACAGATGGCTAAAGTTACTAACCAAAACAGGAAACATCTGGGTTTAAAGGCATTCAAAGACACTGAAATGCTGAATGCTTTAGTGAATGTACGTGACTAGAAGCTCACAGACACTTTGAGGGCAAAGGTGAGAATAACAAGACACTTTACAATTGTCACTAGAAGCTGGGAAAGTAGGAACTAATGAGTTCTCATGATATTTGTTAATGAGCCCAGAGACACAAATGTTTTCTAATATATGTAATATATAAGAAAACAGCAAGTGATCGCTTTAGGAAAACATAGAATAGTAATCTAAGTGGGAGTGGCCAAAATATACACGCGCATTGGGAGGGATCATACAGTCTATGATCAGGAAGCATTTTAAAAATTAAACATAGTACTAATTAACTAAGTATTATGTTTCATTTTTCAGTTGCATCTCAAAATCAGCTCGACTGTATTGTGTACTCTGTGATGTTTCTCATCTTTGTGTTTCAAAGATTTGTTGAGTGTATTTGCTAAAGAAAAAATATTATCTATTATGGTACAAAAGTTTTGAAGAAAGCGTTTTTTTCCTGAAATGTGAACATACCTTTTTTCTGTTACAGCATTCTGTGGAAGATGTAAAAAGAAAACATAATTACTGATCTTAATACCACTGGGAGAGCAGCTTGAGACAAACATTAAACTTCATTATATGCCCCATTAGGTGTGTGAAATCAGAACCACTGTTGGACAGTTCCTGGTCCAGTTCCTGAGTGAGGTGGTAGCAGTCCTCTATCCTCTCCTCCACAAACTTCGTTGTGGCTGCGTGCTCTGTGTCCAGGTGGGTCAGCGTGATCCGGAGATCCTCATCCAGAACCCTCTTCATGTCCTCATACTTTTTACTGATTTTCTCCTTTACTGCGTTCGTCTTTTTCTGAAGTGAAAGGGCCACAAGAGTTAAAAATGCATTTGCAGCGGCACACTACAGTATATGGGCAGATGAAAAGCTGAAGAACAAATGTAATTACAATGTTGTGGGCAACCAATACAAACAATAAGACAAAATAGAACAATGCATATACTGTACGATAGCTGTTAAGGTATGATATGTGTTGCTATGTTCTTTTGTGAATTATAATGGATTTATTAAAAAAACTAAACATTTGTGGCAAACCCAGCAAACTCAGCAAACTCCGCAAGCCGCACTTTCATAACCACATATAGTCAACACTGAAAAAAGTAGGGCCACCAATGACTTTTCATTATCAGTTAATCTGTCGATTACTTTCACAAGTAGTTGATCAATTATTTGGTCTACACAGAATGTCAGAAAATAGTGGAAAATGACCTTTACAATTTCTTAATGCTTGTTTTGCTTAATCAACAGCCACAACCCTCAAACAATCAATTCACTATCACATAAAACAGCAGTAGTTCCTACAGAATACAATAAAAAAAAAGTCAGTTTAAAGTGAAAAAATGCTTTGTTGCTGGAAGAGCAAAAGAGGATGGCATACAGGGACGACCACAAAAATCCAAGAAAGAGACAGGAGACAACAGAGATGCATTTCAGAATTTATTACTCATTTCACCTTGAGGTGAATGTGCTACAGCAGCACAAGGACATGCTCTATGTTCCACCACTGTTAGCTAAAATCAAACTAAACAAGTAAAAAAACAAAACAATAAAACCGTGGACTTACAAATCCCAGTCACGCAGCACACATTGTGATTTTTAGGAATATGACCTTTGGGAGGTTTTGGAACATAATGTTCACAGACAATCACACTGATGGAACAACTCATTTGTTGATTAAACACACAACATTCAGATTCTTCCAACTATTCTTTATGATATTTTATATTGTTTTTGAATTTTAAGAGGTATAGAGACTGCAGATCACAAAGTCAGAATTTCCAACATGTGGTGCCACCATGTATGATATTGCAGGTGTTGGCTACTAGCCGGTAGGCCAATACAGGGTTCTGTCAGCAACAGACCCCTGTTAATATAACAGACTTACTGTTAACTCCACTTGCTTAGCTGCCAGCTTCTTCATCCTGTAGGCGATGGCATGTCTTTGTCTCTGCAGGTGCTGCTGGTGTTTCAGAAGCATTTCCTTTGAGACACAGGCAGAAAACATGAAGAAAATCAAAAGAAACAGATCAATAACCAGAGATAAAAGGAACAAAGGCTAATCTTGGTGGATCAATAGAAAAAAGACACCAAAGTAGAAGTGCTTACTTCATTTGTGACCTTCCCTCCTACCTTACTATTCATTTTCTGTATAGTGGTGCAGATTAAACTCCTCTAACCAGTGACAACAGGACCATGGGGGCTTTTATAGGCCTGTCACAGAAGCGAAGGCTTTGTTGTGTGGGAGGGGTGGCCTTGGGATATCTGTCCTGGTGCTCTTGGAGGCACGTGTCTTGTTTTATTAAGTAGAGAACATGAATCTAAACTTTGAAGACAAGAGGACACAAGTTTTCAGGCAGAGAAGGGCAAACGGATTGTCAGACTTGAGGAAGACTTATTCCGTATCCTACTAAACAAGAAGCCTGTAAGAGCGCTATTGTAGCAACCCGATACTGACCTTGATGTATGTGTGTGGACGTGTCTGTCCTGGAGGCCTACATGCACATTTGAGGTAGTTTGTGAAGGTTAGGAGACACTGATGGTGCTTTGGACAATTCACACACAATGTATTTTCACATGTACACAGAGTGATTGAAGTTAACAGTTATTTTAGTCTTGGCCAATGCCTGCTTAAAATGCTTACCATGACCCAAGTGAAAGGTCACATGGATACTCAAAGGGCCCATGCATGTGCAGGTCAAATGCACCAAGTGCAACCGTCGCCCCTCCATCTAATGACGTCAAATTTCAGTCATGATCTCGTAAGGGCACTAACACACAACATGCCTCGAATCTGACTGACTTGTCTCCTCCTCCCTGTAATCCTGACATATTTCCCATTAGAGGACATAGGAAAAGTGGCAAGGCACAGCAGGGCCACACGCCTTCACCTAAGTGCTACATCGACTGTGATCACTCACACTGACTTGTCCATTTGTAAGATAATATCAGGTTGAGGGATGGCTCGGGCCAACCACTTCAGAGAAAGATATGTCTTAGATGATGTGAAGTATATGACTCTGATAAATCAACCTTAAATCAGTACATCATTTAATCGTCCGAATATAACCTTCAGAAACTTCTTTTTTAAGCAGCCTGGACCTGCCAATCCCTCTATTACTTCAAACAAAGCATGTGTTAGGTTTTTATGCTCCAACTTCTGGATATTAGCCGAGCTATGGACATGGAAGTAAGTAACACTTTACTTTAATCCCCCAGTTGTGCATTTATTATTGAATTTTTAATGCATTTTTCAACAATTCCTCATAAGTTGAGGCTGGTGTATTAACAGATAATAAATGACTATGTAGTGAAACACAGGTGTACTAATATCAAATATGTCATCATGGAATAAGTTGGAAATATTGTCAAATACTGTACATTAACAAACATTTTTAAATGTCCTTAGTAGGTAGATATTATTCCATACCAGTGATCTTTCACTTATGACCACTGTATGACTACAGTCCTACATTGTCACATTTTGCAAGGTTGATAGAAAAGAAATGACATCATACATTTGAGACAAACACATCTACTAGTCATTTACTGATGATTTGGCCTCTTCAGAAGCTGTTATTTATCTCTTTACATGGTTTACAAAACATACTATACACAATAATTATCTGCCTTCCTTTAAATCTCACATATTTTTGCATTTAACCAGGAAGTCCCTCAAGATTAAAATATCTTTTCTGAGGGAGACCTGGCCAAGATAGCTCACCAGTTACAGTTTAAACAGAAATAAACCACATCAGATAGGGAATACAAATGGCAAACACAAACAGAAGAGGTTAAATCTAGCTCAAAGAAATCAGTCCCTCTCTGCCTCAAGCTGATGTGTGGTGAGCGTTCTGGCGCTAAATGGCTGCACCGAGGTGGGTGCTACACATTGGTGGTGGTTGAGGTGAGCCCCCCCAACTTCACTGTGAAGCGCTTTGAGTATCTATGATAAAGCGCTGTATAAATGTAATTCATTATTATTATTATTATTATTAGTCAGCAGATTATTCCAAGTGCACTGAGCAAATAGAAGAAGGCTTTTCCCCCCAGCTCAGTGCAAACCCTGGGACCTGGTAAAGAAGCCACCTGGTGGAACGAAGTTGAAGACTGCTGGAGGTTTGCGTCAGGAGATCACATACACGTATAAGCATATATAAGGGGTGTTTACCCAGCATGGCCCTGTTCACAAAAATATGCACATAAAGTTGTCTAAGTAGACTTACTGACGCAAAATCGTAAAGCGTCCAGTGATGAGTTCGGGAACCAGAGTTATTTTGTTATTTTGTCCTCCTCTGTCCAGCTGCTGGCCTCATCTTACTTCTTCAAGCTACTGACCTGACCTGTCCCTGAAAACTATCATCTTACTTATGCCAGTTTACCAGCTTGCCATAGGTCAGCTACGCTGGTCAGTCTTCACGAGATGTTGGCATCAATACACGCTAACATATTTTACTGAAAAACAGCCTTGAGTGCCTGAATGTTTGTGTTTTTACTGGGGTTTCCAAAGGGTTTAATAAGATTTCTTTGAGTCATGACTTCCAAATCTCTTTTACATGACAGGACATTCTGTAATTGGCCGTGCCATCTTGTTTCCTAAAATGTTAAAAAGGAGTGAATATTCTCCTCGTCTTTCTTCTAAAGGTCCCATGCATGGAATTCTGCAGCTAAACGACACAAAAGGTTAAAAGCAAGTGAAGCGAGGAACCAGAAACTCCAGTTACCAGCACGAATGCCAAGTACAGGAAAACATCCAGCTTCCTCATGCAGCAACACTTATAATCAAAGAGAGTGAGCAAGTTGAGCAGAGTCTCGCAACAGGTGCTTCACAGGTAAGAATATTATGGGTCTTTTTTTTCCTGTTTAGAACCGGTGTATTTAAAAACGTTTTTTAGTTTTTCCTGTTGCATTGTTTTTTATTTATGGAATATATTTGATTTTTAACATTGCTGAGATACTATGTATTTATTTATTTTTTATTTAGATATTCCTTTACAGGTTTTTAAATCAATAATACATAGGAACATACATTCTTCTTTTTCTCTTACATGTACACTTGCAGGTTCACGTGGCTTATGTTCTGTGAATAGAGCTCTTTTTCATGCTCTGCTTTCACAGAGGCATGAGCCTATTTTTAAAGCCCACATTGTTTAAAAGGTTAACTCTTTCCTTCTGGATATTATTATTACTCATAGATTCCTGTGTTATTTTTGTAGGTGTGGTGTCACAATGCATAAGAGCCAGAAGAACACAGGTAGTGTAACACATCTGTAAATCTGCTTTATGGTTTGATTAAGGTGTTTGTAGTTAAATGCTGGTATTCTTGTGCTGCTTATGGAAAATCAGTTTTTACAATTGATATTGTCAAGTTGCAAAAGATTCACATGACAAAAAAACTTGGAATGTGCTATTGTCCAATGTAATGCATGTTGACACACTTATTAATAGTTTGGGGAGTCACTGAGTCCTTTGTTTAAACTACTATTTTTAGTTTCTCGTAACTTGTTCATTCTCACTCTATGGAAATGTAAACAAATGATCACAAAACAATAAGCTTTTCTTTTGCCCGCAGGCGGGAATGCAGTGTTCTACAAACCAGTAGGAATTACGACAGAAATAAGATCAGGATACCTGTTCAAGTCTCCTCCCCAAGGACGGTTGAAGACAGAGGTGAGCTGGCACAATGTCTGCAATAAGTTGCATCCCTTTATGTGTGTGTTTTTTTAAAATTACATTTTTATCATTTATGTATATCATGTTTCTACTGCAGAAATCATGGAAGAAGCGGTATTTTGTGCTCTTCAAAATCAATGAACAAGAACATCAACTGAAGTACTTCAGGAACCCAGAGGAAAAGGACAGGCCGCTTGGAGGGATAGACTTATCGCAGTAGGTTCCCATAAAGCACATAAACCACACTTTTCAAATTATATTTTCCCAGGTTCTCTGTATGAGCCTGTGTGCATGATGTTTCTTTCTCTCTTTCACTGTGCTATTTTTGTACAATACACCAAATCTATTAGCAAATACACAATTAATTTAATGTATTTTAATAGCTTTCAAATTACATAATGCAGTTAAACCAGCTTTTTCAACATCTGTGTCATTTGTGTGCCTCTGTCAGTATCTCATTGTTATATGTGAGCCCTCAAAACCACCAAAGATGGGGATGGGTCGAGAAGAGCTTCAAGTGCTCCCCATCCTGTGTGCTCTACATTAAGGCTGCTGACCGAGACTACTTCCTCATCGGGGACACGAGGTCAGTCAGCTGGTTTTTAACTTCCATTTTGCATTTTACAACACTGTACTTTAAAAATAAATAAAAATAAATAAAAATAAAACACACTCATGATAGATGTATAAGATGCATTTTTACTTCTACTCTATTCAGACAGTTGTCTGAATAGCACTGATTGGTGTTATGAATGTAGGGAGAGGTGGGATTTAAATATTAAACATATGTATTTAAAAGCCTGTTATTCTCTGTATATTTATTGTTTATATAATAATTTTCAGAACAAGGTTTAATTGCTAACCATTTTGCTCTAACCAAATCTCATTTATTTGGATTGTGCATAAAAACATTTATTTGCACATTGTAATGGCAATGTGCAAATAAACATTCCTAGATACATGCATTGCATTAATTTGGCAGTGATGGTGTAACCAAGATTCATGGCTCAGTTGGGTAAGCCAATCCTCCTCTCAAGGCCCTGACTGACACTTTCACAGTGCCTCATAAAACACTTCCCCCTGTGCTTCACACCATTTACTATTTTAGGAGTACTAACAATCACAACTAAATTATGATGTTGCTGATGATGGCTTTGCCTTCTCTGCTCACACTAGCTTGTTGCTGCATGTCACTATTTCCACTTTATTTTGGGGTTTTGGAATTGAATTTTAAAGTGAATGTAATAGCCATAATTTGTGGAGTCTTAAAATGAGGTTCTTAAGTGTTTCCTACGCCCCTCGTGCGTTTAGCAAGGAAGTGGACGGCTGGTTCTCGGACCTGTTTGACGCCCTGAAAAACCGGCCACATAAATTGATCAGTTCAGAGGTACATTTATATTTTAGTTCTTTATCATGTTTTGTAATCACCCCTTGCACTGCACAATTTTCTATCGTGTTTGTTCATCTGTCCCTGACAATGCTCTTTTTTTTCTGCTAAAGGAACTGTCTAATGGTCAGCCAACAATTGAGGTAAATATTTGTAGTCTGTTCCTCATATGTTGTCCACTAACTGCATTAAAGGAATAGTTCAACATTTTAGGAAATACATGTAATTCAAAGATTGATGCCAGCTAGTTTAGCTTAGCACCTCTAGAGCTCACTACTTAACATATTATTTGTTTAAAATTTACCAAAAACGAAGAGTAAGAGTAAAACCACAAGAGTAAGTTGTGGTTTTACTGGGGAGTATTCGCTTAACTACTGCATGGCTTGGAGCAGCTGCTAGCCAACCAGTGGATACTCCAGGAAATCAGTGCTCCCTGTTAAGAAATACGTCCACACATAAATTCCTGTAAAACCAGAGCCAAGCAAGCTCCCCGTGTGTCCAGACTTTGTGCTAAGCTTAGCTAAGCTAAGCTGTAGCTATTTGGAGTACAGACATGATAATGGTATCAATCATCTCATCTAGCTGAAGCAAAAGAAGCAAATTAACCTACTTTACAAAACGTAAAACTATTTTTTTAAATTCTTCATCATTTTCACTCAACACCTTGCTCACACTTTAAATGCTCATTCTAAATTCCCTCAGTGTCCCTGGCGAATCCGACAAGTAATCACAGTGCGGTTGCTTATCAAACAACTCACTATTTGACTTTTGAAAATAGACATCTCTTCCTCTTTTACCAGGTTATTTCAGACCCAGTTATGAAAAAAAAGAATTCCGCCGGTGTGCCTGAAAAGGTTGGTCCATAATGATGCATTGAAGCTCTGCATGAATTCAGCTAACCTTTCTAAATGCATGCATCCCGTCAATCTGATACTAACTCATGCATGCAACTTCATGCATCAGACATTGTTTTGTGTGAATATAGTTTGACGTGTGGATACTTTTTTGTGTGGATAAAGACACGTGTTGATCTAGCTGATCTGTTTCCTCCATATTTTTCTGTAAACCATAGCTATTTTACAGATCAGTTGACACCACCTCTATATTTATTTATTTTGTCATTGTCTTAAAGATACCCTTTTAGGACTCTTGATGCAATCCCCTTAATTTTTCTAAATCTATTGTTTTGGACAAGTACAAATAAAACTGTACATAAGTGTACTATATGACAGCATATTTGACAAAATATGTTGGCAACAGTATAATTCTATGCAATGTATGTAAATAAACATCAACCCAGTTCTCAATTCTGAGGCAATTTTTGTGAACTGCCCCATACAAGATCTCAAATACTGTCATTTACTGACTCACCATTACATTATACCTTTAGGTATATCTTAATAAAACTAATTATATTAAGTTAAACCTAACTATATAACCAATGCAAGCGACCCAGGGACACTGAGATGAATGAGCTAAAAGCAATATAAGCTATACATGGCACATTTTCGCTGCACACATGGGTGCTTTAATCTGTGTTTGTTTTCTTTTTCAGGCAGAGTTGAAAATACGGTCCAAGTCTGAACCATCCTCAAATACTTTGGATAACGAGGTGCAACATTTTCACTTGACTGCTTATAATTAGTAAATACAAATCTAATTAAAATGATGATTCTTGAAGAGAGAGCCTATTAGTTTGGGTGATATAGAATTGGATGTGACTTTTCTTTTGGTTGCACACAGTATGTGTATATTGCTTTCTGATTTACCTGCAGGGTGACGATTCCAGCTGTTCTAAAAGACGTGCATCAGAGCCTGTGAATCCAATCTATGACTACCCGAGACCCTTGTCAGGACAAGTAGGGACAATTATTTCCCATATTGATTAATCTCACAATTATTTTCTTGATTGATTAATTACTCTTTTTTGTCTATAAAATCAATTAGTTTTTTACAACTTGTTAAATTGATGTAATGACCTCCTGAATTGCGATGTACTGTAACTAATGATAGTTTGAATTTTGCCTTTTTTTCATTATAATGTGAAAAAGGTTGGAGAAATGTCCTCAGTGTGAGTATAAATAATGTATTGATCAGATTTATTTATTTGTTTTTATAGTTTGCACAAAAAAAAGTTTTTCTTTGTTGGTTTTTGTTTTGGTGACACATGCTGAAATTGCGTCCTTGAGTAGGCTACCACGGTATTTAATATTATTTATTTGTCTGCTATTTTGAATATCTGTCTCTAGGTATGAAACAATGACAGAACTTCATGAACAACTAGCTCGGGCAGCGTAAGTTTGATCCCTAGAGTGACAGATAAATGAAAAACAAATAATGTAAATCATTTCTGATTATTGTTAAAACTGAAACCAGTTCATTGTGCCAAACAACTACAGGGACCGTGAAGTTGAGGAGGTCACCAAAAGCACCCTGATGAGGTCTGTCACTGAAGTCTATGACAAGTTCAAAACACAGACTTCCCCACTCCCTCCATTCGATGAGGAGACAGCTTCTGAGGACAGGTAGAGCTCAGATTAATTGCAGGGTTGTTTTCTTTTTTTGTGGGCCATGTGTATTTTTGACTTTTCACTTTATCTTCAGTGCTCATAGTTAAACATGTTTGTCATTGCCCTGGATACGCAAATAGCTCATTCATTAGAGGTAACCATGCCCTCAGTTGCACAAACACAACAAGGGTGTAATTTTTACAGCACAAAACTGTTGACACCTCCAGGATCAGTCAAGGATCCAAGAAAGGCAGCAACTCAGAGCCTGTTTAGCAACTTATGCGCTTGACTAGATGAGATGTCTCATTTCATTTTGTGAAATAGGTTATACCTTAACAAGATGGCACTGAATATCTTTACAGCTGAACCATGAAAATACTTGTGGTCATATAGACTTTTCAGACATTGTATAAACTGAAACTGGTTTAATAGGTGAGACGTGACTGATACCGATGTTGTTAAATCCTTAATAAGCTACATTTGACTGCAGCATAACTCGTGTGCTATGTTTTATAAGATTGTTTTAGGGATGGGGGGGGGGGGAGCATGTTTTGCCTTTATTTGATAGTGAAAGGTTTAGAGGTAGACAAGTAAGGCTGTAGCTGGAAAGCCCCTGCATGTACTAAGTTGAGAAAGGGTGTGTTTTGTTGCCTGTCAAACAACTTTTCATTTGGAAGAGGAACAATTTGCTATTTCCTCTTCCTAAAAACACAAATGTCTGAGGAGCTACCTGCACACATTTTTATTCCCACATCTTATGCAAATCATTAATAATGAGCTTGGAAGAGGTTTAAAATTAGAAAACATTTTTCTGTATGTTCTGTTTGCACCTTTTGAAGTAGCGAGTCTGTAAATTCCTTACAATGCTAAAAATGTCACTGTGTGAGACTTTCAGTCTAAGTAGCATGTCAGATCTTATGGCATGTCAAGGAGGACAGGTTTTTTAGCCAAACAGATTCAACATCCTTGTTTACCAAGGCCACTGTATTAATCACCAACACAGCAGGCGATCAATTAATAACATCCACATTGTTCACACCTCTTCCAGCTGTTTCATGCCATCATCTCCTGTATAAAAATACTCTTTTCTGTTGTTTGTTTCCCTGAATGTGCTATAATATAAAACTGTGTGATAATTCTTCCTTACACACTGATGCCTGATTTCTTTCTAAGAGGCCAACTGCTGTGCTGCCACACTGAAGAACATCTTCTCTACTACATTTGGCATATGGGTCCAAAGACTCTTTTCTAAAGTACCCCTGAATTAGAATTCCTCTTGCGCCTCTGCAGTGATTTGGGGATTATTTGCTTCTCTCATGCTGTTTAATTAACTATTTTTAAACAATCTCAAGACATCTGGTCTTCTTTCTGTATAACAGAGTTTTTTTTTTTGAGTGTACAATGCTCTTTTACCCTCTATCAACCATTTCTTCTTCCTTTTATTGTTATTCTTTTCTGCCACAAGGGCAAATATGGATTTCTGTCCAGCCAAGGCTTCTGATGCAGTGCCAAATCTGCTGTCATGCTATCCGCCTGTGGGTCACCCCCCTCCACAGTGCATGCAGATTCAGATGGCGTTCTTCCTCTGTGCCATGATCTACTCAATATAAAGCATTGGCCTTGGCTCCTGCTACATGAGTATCTTGTTGTTGTTTTACTCCCACTGTCTCTCCAAGCTGTCTTGTCGTCTTTTATTCAATATCAAGCTCCAATGCATTAGTAACTGGTCAGTGAATGTAACTGAGACATGTACTGAGATCTGAAGTTATAATCCCTAATGCAGTTGTAATGCTTTTTGCAGAGAAAAACGTCTGACTTCAGACTTCAGTAGCAGCTCCAGTGACAACGGTGCCGTGTCTCCTGTAGAGATGCTGAAGACACAGAATGTGCACATGCTGGAAAAACAAGGCTCTACAGAAAGGTGAGATTCCACAGTAACTGACCCTGAATCCAAAAACATAACTACCAAGCAGGCACAATTGTTTGAACACACTAGAAATAGGGACATTTCATGTAGGAAGTGATGATGTTAGCATGAGTAAACTCTTGTTTACTTGAAAACAGTACAAGGAGACATTTGAAACTCCCCGCTGTGGCACCGTCTGAGTCAAAAACTGCTTTGTAATTGTTACAGAGAAGAAATACAAAAAGACACTGCCACATTTACTGACTAAAATAAATAACGACAAAGGAATGCTGAGACCAACGCTGACATGTTGCTGGACTGGTTAGGGTGGCTTCTAGAGGCTTTTGAAAGCACACGCTTGTACAATGATAGTTGAATAAAAATGAGCAGTACCTGACTTAACATTAGTAAAAGGTGACTTATACTAAGGCTCCTAGAATTTTCATTTGCTGTTCAAAGAAAAGTAGAAGTCCTGATCTATATCCACTATAATGGATAAGCTGGCACGTTCGTGCCTTTGAATTATGCAGTTGGTTTACTAATTTATGCCGAAATTTTATCAAAGAGTTTACTGAAATGAATATGCAACACAAACAATAACCTGTAGAAGGAACTATTTTGATTGCCTTGGATGTCAATATTTAGATGTACTTCTCTCCTAGCATCTGAAAAAATATATACAATACCATTAAATAAAGCCTTTGTTGTTCTTTCAAGCCTTGACACCATCACCATCACCCAAGAGGAGAGAGATATTGAGGTGAGGCAGGCAGATTTGAAAAAATATCTGACCCTAACAGAAGTGGATGGGAAACCAAGGTAAGTGTGTCTATGAACTATTACCACTTACTTCATTGTTGTTTGATTGGACAATAAAAATGTTAAAAGCCTTTGATTGAGATGTGACTGGCTTCATCAATGCAGCCCGAAGACAAAATACATGGTCGAATGTTCCTGTACTCATTTCTATTTTTCTGTAGCCATTAATATTAATGAAAAAATTTAAGATGCAGATGAGTTCGCCACATTCTCTACTCTCTGTTTACTGCAGGAGTGCATTTGTGGTGCATGATTCAGACCATTCAGCAGTGCTGTGTGGAAATGTGGGCAAGCATTCATACTGGGGTTTAGTATCTGAGTTTTGCATTAATTGGTCATTGCACAAAATCAAAATTCTCAATCCCCTTTAAGATGTAGAAAAACATATTAGTTTACTTCTCAGCTGTTATGTTACAAGGCACAAAAAACATTTATAGAAAAGTAGGCCTATTCTTATGTCGGGCTCAGTAAAGTTGTTATAAGCTGATATTTCATGTCAGGACCAGCTCTACTGGGCTTACTTTGGGTCAGTCTTAGCTTTTTGAGACTTTTCTTGACGCATCAGTAACTTTAAATCTCTGAGCTGTTTTTAATAGATCTTTAAAGCTGGATCCTAACACAATTGAGTGTCTACACATGATGTGTTCACACACAATATTGAGTGTGGTTCACCCAATACACAAGCACTATAAAACAGAAGAAAATAGGAATGAGAATCTTCATAGACATTTATATCAAATTTGTACTCGAGCCAAACTTTGGCCATGATATTGACGTACAAATATAATACGACAAATTAAAAGCACAAATGTCAAATATTGCATAACTAAGAGCTACAGAATGAATTTTAAAAGTGTGTGTGTGTGTGTGTGTGTGTCACAGTGTGTCTGGGTGGACAGGCCAGCCAGAGTCGGTGTGCCTGTTTCACAAAGGAGACCAAATTCTGGCAATTAATGACTTGCACACCTGCAGCATGGACGAGGTCAACATGTTTCTCGGCAAGTCTCTCAAAAATGAGGTATGTTTATGAGAAGCACATGAAATGCCAAAACATTTCACAAATTGTAAGCGTCCATGACTATTTGCATAGATCGATGAATGTGTGACTAGTTCATCTGAGGGAGCAAAATTTCACTTTTCAGGTGAAAGTGACCATCCTGCGTCTCCCTGGGTGCCCGCCTCTGCATTTGCCAAACTGTCCCTGCAATGACTGACTGCAAACCGACTATTAGAAATGAAATAGTTTTACTTCCAATGTGTATGTATGAGTGTGTTCAAATTACTCTTGGAGACACTTCCTTTCTGTGGATGGTGGGTTTGTACCATGTATTGACCACTTTAGACATCTGACAGTATTTTGAGACCGTTCTCATGTCAGGGCGTCCAATACCAAGGCTTTTAGAAAAAGTAGCAAAACGCAGTTATTTGACATCGAAAGGTACCCTTCAGCGTCTAATATAAGACGCTTCCGGATGCGTCTCTATGAGACGCTCTGGGGCGTCTCGTACAGATTGGAAGTACAAGCTAGCTAGCTAGCTAGGTTTGTGTTAAAGGTGTTGACAGCCCCTCGAAGCCCCCTACCCTTACCACAACCATCAGAAATGTTAGTACCTAAACCTAAGTCACTCACTTTATGCATGTTGACCAATGTGCTAGCAGGTAGGGTTAGCTGAGACGTAGCAAACGGACACTGAAGGGTACCTTTAAAATACTAATTTACTGTAAAATACTTTGTCACGCATTCTGAAAGCATCAGTTATGACGCACTGAGATGAGAACGTGTTGGTATTTTCCCAGGGCTGTGGCCAGTTCCTATTGATCTGTCACTCTACTTGTTTACTCAGTTTAAAAGTCAAGTAGAGCACGCATAAAGTGAAGTTAAAAGTGAAATCTAATACATGGCCCGCATCATACTGTATGTGAAAAAGTTCAACTGCATTTTAGCTGCTGAGCATTCTGTGTGTAAACAATCCTTTGCAGTACAGAGAATGATTTATGTGCTTAATTCATTGTGAATTGTATTTACTGTAGATAAGAGCTAGATATAGATTAGATGTAAATTATCAAAAGTTGTTTCTGGAAGGAAACAAAAGCTAAATTCTAAAGTCATATTTCCTCATAGCGCCTGCAGGATGTCGGGACAAATGTGATCACCAGATAAAATTTAGGTGGTGTGATGTTGTGCAAGAATGGTTACCATATATACAGTAGACTTACTATTAAACAATTATATTTTTACACTAAGCTGTACAAATAATCAAAATATTTTAACACTTTAAATGCACATTAAATACAGTAGAGCCAATTGAAAACTCTCTAAAGTACTGTAAAAGCAAAGATTTCTGTTCAATCTGGACATGAGTTGGATCTTTTCTTGCGACTGAATCCCAAATGTGACTTCTGTTAGAGTGCTTTAATTTCACTAATCAGCTGTATTCCAAGATGACAGGAAGCAGCAGCATTCATAAAGAACATGAAGGTGCTGTTAGGCACGAGACAAGACGCTCTGAATAAACATTTATGATCCCAATTAAGTAATTAAATATTTTTAAAACATATCCACTGTTGCCATAAATATTCAAACTCCAACTGAGAAAGAACTGAGTGTGAATGTCAGCGATGCGGATTCATTTCCAGTTAGCTCAGTATGCCATGTAACACCTATGATGACGTTTATTTGGAAAGCATGCCTGTCTAATGATGCCTTCTTGAGAGCACAAAAACAAAGGTGCACTGTGTGTTTAAAACATGTATGTAGTTATGTTAGTGTCTCCTTGCATAGAAAAAGGCAGTCATACGTCCAAATTTAAACATTCCTTTTCTTGTTTCTCTCAAGAGTGCTTATAGTAATTAGGGGTGGATGAATGAATTAGGAAGAGACTAGTATTTCATGTCGTCCACACGTCAGGGGCAGTCTGGTGAATTATTATGGCCACAGAAAGGCGTTGCACTTGTGTTTCACTTAATTCTTACATTTCTATTTCCTCAAAATGACTTACAATTGCTGTGGAGCAACTATGGGTTAAGTGTGTTGCTCAGGGACACACTGGTGGATGGGTCACAATGGGGTCTCTCCCACCAAAAGCAGGCGTCCTATCCATTGCACCATCACCAACCATTTAATTTCTCTGATTTGAAGCAGAAATGGTGAATTATATAGCTGAGGACACTTTGCTGAAATGTGGTTTCAATATAACTTGAGAAGATTGTTTAAATCCTTTTAAAATTATTTCTGGTGACAAATGCCACTCCCAAACAAAGACAACATCAAATGGAAGTTATCTGCAAGGCCTGTTCACTTGAAGTGCTACAAAGCATTCTCGAGTTTTATATTTAAAATTCTTATTCGTTACCTTTTTTTTTTTATTATGTCCACTGACCCAATGTCCACAGATGGCAAGGACAAAGATTGCCTCTAAACTCTTATCAAATATTATTTGCTATTGTTAATATTCTGACGAGTCCTTTTCCCATCACATCGTAGGCCCTATATGCCTTTCCAAGATTAATGTTTCAAGTTTTAATGGAGCTATTAAACAGATGTGAGATCTGACAAAAAATGTTAAATATTTTTATTTTTTATTATTTACTTAAACTGTGATGCTCAAGCTGTGCTGTATTATAAATTAGCTCTATGCATCCTGTGCGAGGGTGTAGCAAATACAGGTTGTACTGGGATGCTGAAACTTTTATTTGTAAAATGACTGTGAATAAATTTCACCAGATTGTTAAAACACTGAACATTTTGCATGATTTTAGATAGGAACAGAGGCAGGAAGTGTAAGGAAATGTCTACAGATGGTTGTAGAACAGCAATTTCCTTTTTTATATCATTAATTCTGCTGTGCTAAAAATGAATCACTCAAGTGATGGAAATGTAATGGTCATAAATATACCACGCAGCTCTTACCCCTTATTCTAGTGTTAAACATGAAAATTTAATCGCAAATTAAGGATACATCACCGACCACATACCCTAGAATATATATTGTGGGAATAGACAGTACAACATCAAGCCTTATCAAACTAGATTTTATGACTCCTCACTCTGGCGATTGAATCCTAACAGGTCAGGCAGATGGGATAAGCTGAAGTCGCTAGCATCAAAAGGAGAAAAATTCCATTATAATCGTGTTTTTTTTCCTTATAATGACCCTGTTTGTTTTTTTGAGTTTCCACATCATACAGTGCAAAAGCCAGTTTACAGAGATGGGGATTCAGAAAGTTTTCTTTGTGCCGCATGTCTCTGCTGTCTCAGAGAAACTACTGAAGGATCTGACAGCACACTCAAAGACATGTTTGCGTTTTCAGAGCTACTGCACAACAGTGGAAGTCCTCCATAACACTATGTTTGCTGAAGAGGCCTTGAGGGGGGTTGCACAAATCTATCAGTAAGAATCATTTGAATGGCAGAGATGTCATTTTGATGTACAGTAGCAGTGAAAATCCACGATACAACCTTGAAAACCAACGACTGTGCCAAGTTAAAGAGAAAAAAAAAAGCGCTTGTGTTGAATCTGGTGTACAATGAATGTTCTTGACATCACAAGTATTGTAAACAGGTTAATATTGTAAAAAAGTAAAATGGAGGTACAAGTGTTAAGAACGTTAAAAATTTATTTTTTCAGCATATAATTTAGATTTCATAGAAAATACAATAAATTGCACCATATCAAAGCTGCACTTGCAGCACATTGTTGACAAACAAGGCTACCAGTGGAAGTAGCCAGAGCAGACAGGAACACATACATTTAATCCAGCGCCAATGTATAATACTTCTGGATGAGACAGATACATTTCCTGTTCACCTACCTCATAAAAACTCGTTGATCTGCATTGGAATGCTAACTCAGTAGCCTGAGGCAAGAAACTTCAATAAAAATAATACAATGAGTAGTGTTGAAATAAAGTTGTTCACCATGGTCATACAGCATTTCAAGTATTAAGTATCAATTGATTGCACATATTACCAAAGAGGCGATTTAGAGGCCAGCTGCAAACACAGTTTACCAGAAAATAAGCTACAGTTTAGCTTTGGTTTCCTTGAGCCACTCGCTAAAACACTTCTCCATAGCTTTCCTGCTATCCCAGCTGCCATTGTTGACTGTAGGGATGATCTTGAGGGGCTGGAGCCACTGGACAAAACGCTTCAACTCCAGAAAGCTGCTGTGTTCGCTGTATGGGATTCCTGGCAATGAAATAAAAAGGAGTGTCATCATCATGTCCCTAAACGTTAAAGTTGCTGAAAGCTTAAAGACGAACCCCCCCTTAACAGGGTATATTTAAGTGTGGGTTGTAAATATCTCAATATTCTTTTTATTAAGACGACAAGTCCTATAGGGGAAGAATCCGGTAGTGGTTTATAACTTAACCAGAGGGACTTTTCAGACATGATTTAATCGGCTCCTTTGCTTTGATATTTTTCTTCCAAATTTCTTCAATAATAAAACATCAAGCTCAGTGAATACAGAGGTTTTGTTCGAGGTAAAACCTTGTCATGGAGCCAGATGTCTCAAAGTATGGGTGAGTCAGAGAGCCACAGGCTCAGACATTTCCACTTTGATGGAACAAGGCAGATTTCAGATGCTGAAACATTAAGACAATCAAAACGACTTCCCTTTGTTTCGAGGTGAGAATACGAAGACATCTTGTGACTCCTGCAGAAAGCTGCTGCCACTTGTTTGTTCCCCCTTTCGCCTCTCTACAGGTTTGATGTGCTACGCCACTTTAAAACTGATCTCGCTGAAACTAAACCTACTCAAGTATACAGACAATCCTCCCAAATGCAGAGAATATTAGAAGCGGTAGCAGCATATGGCTGGAAAAGGCAAGGAGGGGGAGGAGATCAACACAAGACAAAAGAGAGCACAAATTGGCTTCTGCCTGACTGACAAACTGCTGAGGAGGAAGAAATTACACGCATCACAAAAGCCTCTAGCTGGTGATTGTAGGTTACAGGCCAGATGGCTGATGCTGTTGATGGATCCTTTAAGAACATGAAACGGGACACAAGGAAAACAGGCTAAATTTGCAGTGGCAAATAAAGTCATGACCCATTTCAGTACCTGGGTTTAATGCTAGGCTACCGTCCAGCAGTGTGGTCCATGAATGAGACCCAGCATGCTCCTGATTATATTCCTTCTCATCACCAAGCTGAAATAACCGATAACTGAGCCATAGTCCATTGTTCATTCTAACTCCTGACTCGCCCTCCCCTCCACCTCTCTTTGCCTAAAGAGGGAGCTTTAGGCTAAAGGCAACAATGTGATGAACATTCATGTTTTTGGCAGGAGAAAAATGCTGCTTGTGATTGAGTCTCAGCAGTGTGTGGCAATATGACAAGATTATTTACCATTATAAGCTTCTGGTCAGTAAAAATGAATAGAATGAGTAAAAAAAGTGCATTTTCTCGGGGCATTAACAGCTTCAATACCGCCAACCTTGCAGAAGAAAAACGCAGTTAACCTAATTTATACTGCAAAGTAAAGGATATACTATTGATTTGCATTCACCATTCCTCCTCACTTGAGATTCTTTAGCATATTTTTATGCCTTATAACGGAATATTCATGGTTTTCTTTGCTGACACCCTCATGTGAGAGTGTATGTTATTCCTTCTGACAAATACCTGTCCTAAAACATGTCAGCAAAAAAAAAATATTAGTGCGTACCATAGATGGAGATGTTGCCACTGATCTGAGGCTGAATATCGTCCACTGATTTCACCTGCTGGCTGAAGGTCCAGCCTGTGGGCTTGAAGGCCACCAGCCGATCGTACCGTCCTGCAAAGCGTGCCAGGTGATCCTGCAGTTTCTGGAGACAAGATGAGGGTGACGTAAAAGTGAGGAAGGAAAATAAAAAGTGAGCATAATTTCACATTTTGTCACATGAACTGATATGCGTTGTTATAGGTTGGTGTTGCTACAAGGAAAGCTGCCAAACCTCCAAAAGTGAAAAACAAGTTTTAATTTGTTTTCATCA